CAACCTGAACTGCATAGCGAGACCCTGTCTCAAAAAAAAAAAAAAAAAAAGTGCATCTCTAATCACTGAATTGTAAAGCAACAAAAAATGTATTTGGAAAATAGTGACTCGTTTGGAACAGTTGTATGATTGAGTGGTGGTAAGAAAGATAAATAGTGTTAGGATCATGGGATCTTTGGGCTCTCAGAGGCATTTTTTGTTTCGTTTAGTTTAGGTTTTTTGAGAGAGGGTCTCACTCTGTAATTCAGGCTGGCCTTTAACTCACTACATAGCCTAGGCTGGCCTTGAATTCACGGCAGTTCTCTTGCCTCAGCCTCCCAAGTACTGGGATTACAGGCATTTACCACCACACTGGGCCTTTCACCAATGTCTGTATTTGACTTATGAAGGCTTTTTCTTTTTTTTCTTTTTTTTTTTTTGGTGGTGGTACTGGGGATTGAACCCAGGCCCTTGCACATGCTTTTAATTTATTTTTCCTCCCGCCTGTGGAGCACAATGATAAGCACATCTTTGTGGATGTGTTTAGCTTAGAAGGGTTTGGGTAGAAGGGAGAGGAGGCAGGGAAGTGAATTTGTTATGGACAAGGAGAAATGACAGACACTACCCTCTCCTTTAGCTCTTTGCAGTTTCTTTCTGTTTTCTGTGTCTTTGGGATATGCCTGTCACATCAGTCTCTTCATAAAACACTGTCACAGTTTGTGGACATTTTCACATTAGCTTCTTTTGCAACAACCAGGTCAGCCTCATCCATGTCTCTCCATTTCATTAGGAGCAGTAAATCACCACAGGAGTCTGTTGCTCCAGTAATTCTTTCTGGTTCCAGTCCCCTCTCAAAGTCTGGAGTGATACCATTGCTCTGGTCTCTCTTTTTTTGGACTTGATATCATCAGTACTGTTCAAGAAACTAGATTTCCTTTTGTGACTTTCTGACTTTTCCCTGGGTTTATTATTTTTACCCTCCTTCATCTTAGACTTTGTCATAACTCAAAAATTAGCTTAGGGCAATCCAAGCTTTTCTTTGGT